CCTCTGCCAAAGTAAACAATCTCACAGACAGTTTTCATAAAAAAAGTGCACTAATTTAATTGTAAGTAAAGGAACAACAAATTGGTTCAAAGCTTGCCACAGTACACTCAGTGGAATCTTCACCCAGCTAAGACAACCAGGGCTGTTCAGCACATACCCTTCCTTTCAGAACAGCTAAGGAAGTGCAAACCAAGTCTTCCATGGCACATGGATTACGTGCCAGTGTACAGTTCAATAACCATTCAGCTAACTTAGGGAGAAGTCAGTGCATGGTCCTCTGGGCTGGCTGTGAGGAATGATGGCTATGGGCTAGGTAAGAGCTGTTGCGGAAAAATCCTGCACCTGACACACACTGGTTTGTAGCAGTATGATGTGATGATCTATCAAAACAAAAAAAAAAACATGAATTTTTCATCTGGACTTGCTCTTGTACCTGGCTTTCTGAAGCTCGGAATTGTAGGATATAAGCAGATGTCCAGCAACTCAACCAAGACCTAATCTTCAGCCAATGGAGACCACCTGGTTGAAGATAAAGAAGCCAAGGAAAGGGAAAGATGAAGCTCCCATTTCCACATGAGACTGGGAGCAGGCCTAGCTTTGCTTCTGATGATTCCAGAGTTGGGGACCGTCTCCTCCGAGAAGAGTTTTCAAGCCATAGCTCTAGCTGGAATATTAGGTTTGGCAGGATACAGGCTGAGGACAGCCCTGCTCAGACTGTGCTGCTCCAGAAATCTCAGCAGCTCTCAAACCACCCTGGTTTCAGGGGCTCAGCATTTCAGAGCTGCTCTTTCAACATGTCAGCCACCAAATTCAGCTCTTTATAAGCATATACTTCCATATGTCCTAAATGCATACAGGTGAAAACCCAACACTGAAGGAAGAGTATTCAAGTTGATTTTTCCACCAGTTGAGAAACAGACTTTAGTTATATCTGTGCAATTTTCCTAAAGCAGAAGCTCTGTGCAGCAGTGGGACTCACACAGGTCATTCATTAGCTGGCTCTGGCAGCAGCTTCTTTCAAATCCTCCATGCTCATGGCATGTTTCAATTACCAGGACCTATAAAAAGAGGCTTTTCGATCTGGACTATAAAAAGCTGCAACCTAAAAGCGTGTCCCAGAGGGTTAGCTCACCCATGTCACTGTGAGCAGGAGAACAAAAGATGCCTCCTACAGAGCAGAACCAGGGCTGCTTAGTGGCACTCCCCCCACAGATCAGTACGGTGCTTTTCAAATGCTGCTATGGGGTAAAAAAAAGAAAAGAAAAAAATCTTCCTATAATCATTTCAAAGTGCATTGATTTGGAATCAAAATGCAGAGGAGAGATTATTCTCACATGCCCCAGCTCCTGCAGAGATCCATGCAAACCTGCGTGGCACCCCAGGGTTAGGGAAGACCTGGGAAACAAGCTGAACCCCAGGGGCCCTGCTAAATATCACTGACAATTCTCCCTGATACCAGTTACAGCGAAGGAATTGGGGAAGATGACACATTAAAAAAGGGCAACAGAAAAAATAATAATTTCTTTCCCCTCTCATTACATGCTCCTGGAGGTGGCATACCACAGAGAGCAACTAAATTAAGCAAACTCATTGCAATGTTTTATATGTATTGATTATTTGACAGTCTCCCATGAAATCAGTAGCTTTACATAAAGGATGTAACTGAAATGCACAGAGCTTGAGTTTTGATATCACCTACACTGGTGTAAATCAAAACCAAGCCTATGGATGAGAAAAGAGTTAGAGTGGATACAGTAAGTACAAAAAAACAAAAATACCCAAAGAAGCTTATAGATTTAATGCTTTCCACTGATGAGGTGTGGGAGGGTAGGGCTGGGGAAAGAGATTGCTTGTTTTCTTAATCCAAAGAGTTTCTAGGCATACAGAAAAACATTAAGTAGAGAAAGCTAAATCTAGATCCCACTGCAATCTGAGGAAGTTTGCCTATCAATTTCTGTGGCTTGAAGCACTTGCTTCTGAAAGCAAAGTTCAAATGAATATTGCCCAGGTGGCACTGCACAACCCCACTTTGCTAATTGTCATGCTGGAGCAGCCAACGAATTGGCAAAACTGGTTCGGAGGGCAGTCAGGGGAGGGATGGAAGCAGCACACGGTTGCCTTGGAGTTATCCAGGGTTATCTACACATCATGCTGTACGCTCCCTGCTTCTCATAATTAGAGTGTCTAGACAGGAGATGATGCTGGTGAAGCAGCAAGTAAAAAGGTTTTGCAGAGTTTTTCAGATGAGCCCAGCTAAAGCAGTGATTATAACAGAATGACAGACACAAGACTTGCAGAGCCCAGCTGAGATTAGAGCCAATTTCAACCTGAGTAAAGGTCCTTCCATAGCTCATCACATCCTAAAAAAATCTGCTGAATCAGAGCCCTAATGGCTCAAGCACTCAGGAGGGCTCGGAGCTTTTGAACCAGCCTCAGACTGGAGGTTTCTGCAAAAGTAATTGCAGCTGTCTCTCTGCTTCATCCAGATGCTGGCATTTAGCAGCCTCAACTTGTGTAAACCAGCTTCACTCCACTGAAGTCAACAACAATTGACACCAGCTGAGAATCTGGCTCTCAATGTGGATAAATATAGTCTAAAGAAAGAGAACTTACAGAAGGATTGCCCAATTCCTCATGTCCATTTCCCCCCTGGGGTAGGGCTGAATAAGATGATTTTCTTCTTTTTAATTTAGCTACGGTTATTTTTAACAACAGCCTTATGAGCTCACATTTATTACAGCACCTTCCATCCTGCAGGAGCCGGGCTGCCTTTCAGGCTTCACCAGGAATCATGGAGAGAGAAAGATGGGATGCTCTGCACGGCACCGGAAAGGAGCCACCTCCGGACACAATGCTCAGCGCACACAGAAGCCTGTCCACAAGCACAACAAATCACAGAGAGTACTGAAACAATTCATCCTCAGCATTGCAAGAGGAAGCCCCAGCCCAAGGAAACAATCCAAGCAGCAGTTTCAAATCTTTGCCTGAGCTGGCCAGGAGATGAATGTGATGTTTTCGCAGCCACGCAGGGTGCTGCGATTACACTCTGTGATTCTATATGCACAACATGAAGACAGATTACCTTCTATACAGCTGGGAAGGGCAAATATTAGTGACCTTAGGGAAAGGAACAGTAACCTGGTCGCTCCTATCATGACAAACAAGCTCTCCATTGGTCTTTCCTCATCTAACTCAAACATTCCTGCTGAAGTTAATGGATATGGCTCATTCATCTGCCCATTTTCACAAACAGCTTTACCAAGTGGTAAAACTGTATCCATATCAATTGCATAACCAAGCTGGGGTGTCACTAGCGCCAGTGGAAGACAGACTAGGGGGGCAGAGGGAGCTTAAGAGGAGCTTCAGAAACACCTGAAAGGCCTGACATCCCTGTTTGTGAATAGGTGCCAATTCTTTTTCAATACAAGGGAGAAACTGGCAGATTAGAACAAGAAAATAGATGACCTCATGGTGTTAAATCTGTGTGGTTATGTGATAGAGTGACACCAACTTTTGTCCACAGTGGTACAGTCCATTTTATGGGGGCTCAGGAAACCAGGACCCACTCGTATGTTGCCACGTGGGAACTGCTGGGAAACAGCATCTTCCAGAGCTCCTCTCAAGCTACCACAGAGCAATGGAAATGCAGCAAATAAAAGCTGCTGCCACCACCACCCAAAGCTCCATCAAAGACATGAACTTTGGCCTTCTTCTTTCTTTCTTTTTTAAATAATAAACAAATAAACAACCCAAACAAAAAAACCAGCTCCATTAATGAAATATAAAGCATAAGGCAAGGGGTGATGAAAACAAATAAAACTAAGGCTGTGAAATGCCTGGTATGTAAGATGTGTTGAAACTTGCTGCTGACAGCAGCTTGAGCAGACATTCATATGCAGCCATTCATAAGATGCACAGTAATTACCTTCTCCGGGAGGCTGTATTATGATGATTTCTTTATACAGAACACAATATCTCTAGCAACAGGATATAATTACAGCAAAGGATATGCCTCTTAACCTCCCTCCACCCCCCACAGTTGGCTCAGAGAGAGAGCTGGGAGCCAGGGGTTCTGTGGGGACGGTGGAAGAAGTTTACCCTGTGGTACCACACTCATTACCGGGAGCCGAGCACGCTTCTGGTGGAAGACTGTGGTGGCATTGCTCTCACAGGAGCCCAACCTCTCTCTCCCTGAGCTCAAGGTAGAAGCACTCCCAACACAGCAGGACTTGGAGAGAGCTGGCAGCAGCCACTGGGCCACCAGAGGAGTTCGGCACAGCCAGCCTGCTCTGGGCTGACACCTCGCTGGTAAATAAATAAATACAAAAAATAAACAGGCAATGGAATGACTCAGAACAGGAACACTCTGGCAGCGCTGTGCAGTGGCAGGACTTCTTACCTCCAGCCTGCAGACCAAGACCTGGCTGGCCCCAAATACCCCTCTGTCTGCAAAGACTTGACACAATCCTAGAGAAAGCACAAGGCTCACAGATAAGGATAGGCACCATGCCCAGCGTGGGCTGCAGTGTCTCTGGGGGATAGGTGCCACCTCCTGGTGGTTCCCTGGCCCACCTGCAGAAGAAATGCCCAAATGATTCTTCCAGCTCAGCTTCCTAAGACTGGCCACGCTGTTTTAGATCATACAGTTTTCCTCACTGTAGCAGTTCACTATCCTCCAGATGTTGCTGCACTCTCCTAAGTGTTGGAATTTATGAGATATACAGTACAAACAAGTAGCACTGACCCCACCTAACCAAACCTCTAGCCCTGCTTCTTGGCCGTCAGTGACCAGGTTGCTACTCCATTCCCACCACCTGTTGGAGAGAGGCACAGGAAATCCTGTTGTACAAATCCTGTTGTTGGATTAACGCATGCAGTGTTCAAATGACCATGGCAGGGATTTCCACAGTGCTCTGCCCTAGAGGTATCTCAAAATTAGAATCATAGAATCACTAAGAATGGAAGAGACCACTAAGACCATCTAGGCCAACCATCAACCCAGTCAAATTGGAGGAAGCTGCAGTCAATGACAGAGGCCAAAGAGCTGTACACTCAGCCAAGGGAGTTCCCCTCTTACTGCCACAGTTCCATCCTGGTACTCACTTCTCCAGATACATTCCTGGGATAATGAAGCAGCTAACATAGTCAATGGTGGTCAGCATCAGTAGAATTGCTGTGCTCAGAAGCAGCTCAGCATGGTGTAGCCCCATTTGCAGACCAGTAGGTAGGAGGCCATGATCAGTACAACTTGCTCCTTCTTGTCATTTAGTCAGTCCTGGAAATAAAAGAAGAATGTTAACTCCCAGCCCCATACCTTCCTGTCTCTCACCAAAAATGCAGCATAGCATCTGACACAAGGCACCGGTGGTTCTATCCCCTACTCTGTTTACCTGAAAATCAAAACAGGAACTCAGCCTTCATTTGCCAAAAGTATCTGCAGTAGAAGCACTGAGTGGTTTGGACTGTTCATGCCAGATGTTGAAAGTGAAGAGTCAAGGAGGTTTTCAGAACCCTTTGTCAAGATCTAGATGGGTCCACTTCCTATACAAGGATAAAAAACATTTTATTTTAGATGAGAGATTAGAAAGCTTTCCTTTAATATAAATTAACAAAAATTAGATAATAAACAATATTTTCCTCTTTAGCCTGGAAACCGTGTCACAAGCGAGAGTCAGCTCAGGCTTGGAAGCTGCGATATCAGTAGGGGAACTTCCCTTTCCATTTACAAAAAATGAATTTTGCATCCACCGGATGGCAGTGTGGGGAGAGCAATCACAGCAGTCACAGCATTATTTTCCTCTTTAGCCTCTCAGAAGTGATTGCAGACAGAGCATTTTATTGCTTATTAAGATCTCTCTACATTACAACCAGGGAAAGAAATCTAGGTCTCATTAATAAACTATCTTCTTAGAATCTCTATTAAAAGACAGACTCTGGTTAGCCAGCACCATTCCATATGTGATTTGGTTTGTCTCACAGCATCAAGATTCACGGGAAGGTAGCGTGCTTTAAATTGTCCACTCCTTACAATAAAAACAATCCTCCCCCTTAGACTGAAATACAAACAGTAAAAAGGCAACACTTCCAGTACAACACAGAGCCGAGTTATTTTAAGAAATGACAACATTTTCTTCAGCTTCTGTTGTCAAACATTTTGATGAGCAAGAAATGAAAATCTATTCTATTCTAAGACACGGCAGTCATTATTTATCTACAGTCGAGAGCAAGTTTTCTTTCCTGTATAGCATAAAGCTCAAATTAATAAAGCTGAATGCTAAACTCTGGGTAAGTAATATTACTGAAATCCATCGTGTCAACAAGCCGATTGCCCAAGGGTAACAAGCAGTAGAATATCTGCAGAAAACAACACTTCAGGAAGCCAAGCCAACGTCGATCCTATTGCCACTAGAGGGCAATAGCAAACAAGCGACCAAAAACTCGAGTTGAGGAGAGAGAGGGGTTCTAAAGGCGTAGTAAATGCAGTCCAGTTGTGTTCAGTGGGGCAGCAGCCCTGGCTGCTGGGAGCTCCGGTCCCAGAGAGCTCGGCAGCTCTCTCAGGAGCTGCCTGGATCCCCTCCTGCACAGCCCCATTCCCTGTTGCAGCAGGCAGGTAGCTCCCACCATTGGCTTTGGGTTTTGGTCCATCTGGGTTAGTCAGTGGAAAATATTCACTGCTGGTTTTGGACTGGAGAACAGCCACAAGTAAAAGAAGTACTTTTAATGGCATGTGTTGAAGCATCATCAAATAGAAGGTGGTCAGATGCTGTTCTGAACAGATGACTGATCCAACATAACACATCATTAGATTCCAGATGATGCAAGAAGAAGAAATGAGGAGACACTTCAGCAGCCTGATCCACTTATTTTACTGAAGGAAAGATTCGGAGGGGATTTGATCTAGATCTATTAACAAGTCTCAGTGGGGGACTGAGAGATGCTAAAAGTCTCCAAAAACCTAACAAACAAAAATATAACTAGATCCAGAAGCTCAAAGCAAGAGCTGGATACAATCAAACTGGAAGTAATGTGAGCATTTAAAAATTAAAACTTGCACTAATGCCAGTAGTTAATCACTTGAACAAATGATGTAGGAGAGAGTTTTATTTTCCACCCCTACAGCACTTAAAACAAAATTTGCTGTCTTTCTAAAATATGTGCTGCAGCTTAGCAATGAATTATTAGCCTTGATGCAGACATTATGGGTTCAGGTCTCGTCTGAACGAAGCAGAGGGTGAGACTAGATTAGCAAAATGGTCTTTTCTTTTAATTACAGTCTACAAATATCAAGGTCCTCCTTGCAGGTAATTGTCTTTCAGTGATGAAGGCTGACTTCCAACTTTGCAAACTCCTTTCACAAGCTATATCAGTGCAGAAGTGACTGCAGCTCTAAGGACTTCACCACACAAGGAACAGCGATGGCCTCTACCTATTGGTACAGCTCTTGCTGCCCAGTCATTACCCATCTGTTGAAAGAAAGACCATGAGCCTACAGAAACCACTCTCCAAGCCAAACTGTCCATGGCCAACAGCTGGATCGTGCTGTGCTCCGGCTGAGGTACCAGTTCTTGGGCTATGGCACAAGATAGGAAGAGGCTGGGGGGGAACTGGTAGGTTAGTGTGATGAAAAAGAGGTCTGTGTCAGTTTCAAAGTCTTGATCTTCCAAAGACATCAGTCACAGTGAAGTCACATAACAAAGAAAATAATGTCTGTAGTGTCTACCCTCTTCGCCCCCAGACCTGGACCAGAGGGAGATCTTTCTTGAAGGAAAATGAATTTATAGTGGCTACAGCTCCTTGGGAGTTGCATAGACAGAGACAGACCTGTGACTCAAACATCCAAAAGCATCACACCACAGAAACACCCCCAGCCTCAGCCCAACCCTTGTGTGCTGTAGGACAGACAACACCAACATAAACAAAAGCTCAGCCTTTCCCACCAGAGGCACAAAGCAGCGCTGTTTCAGCTGTAAACCGTTTCCAACCTAACCAAATGTCAGTGCTTTACAAGACCGGAGAGTTATAAAACAGTCAGCATGTGATGACAGCACGCTGGCCTTTGCAGTAACTCAGAGGCACTTCACTGCGGGAGCAGCATAGGGGTGGTGCAGAAAGAAGGCAGGTAAAGAGCATGCAGAACACGCAGCACTTGGGGCTCGCCCTTCCTCTGCTGCCGAAGGGTTTGCAGATGTTTCCAAGTGTTTATCAAGGCTGAAAGGTGCTGTCAGTGACAGAGAGCTCTGTGGAGCTCACTGCAAAGCAGCGCAGACACAGCATGCTGCACCGTGCTGCACCGTGCTGGGGGTGATGGCCACGTGTACAGAAGTGGGAGTGCTGGCCCAGGTGACATCTGTCAGGTCTCCCAAAGCTGCCTGCCTGCTGCAATGAGGAGAGCTCAGCACACTGGGCGAATGGCTCAGTTTTCTGATTCAGGGAAACAAACATGGGGGAAAAAAAAAAATAAAAAAAACAAGCCACAAATTAAAGCAAGGTTTGCTGTGAGAAGGAAGGTGTCACAATGTGTTTTGACACTGTATTCTTCTGCAGGCCCTAGTATAATGTTCTCCAATCATTCCCCCCCATGACTCATCTGCAATAAGTCTGCTCTCCTTCCTCCCGCTAACTCCGGCCCCATGGAAGGCCCTGCTGAGTGTCACTCCTGTATTTCTGCAGCTTGAACTCGCACGTTTGCTTACATACGTGACCTCCCCAGTATCTTCACCCCACCCTCATAAGAAACCACATTAGAGGGGGACTCCTGTTTAGCAGTTAAAACTCATCGCCTGCAATCAGCCTGCAACGCTTTTCTTCTTCTTTGCAGTTCTGCAAATCAGCACATCTACAAATCAACAAGCTGCATTGCTTCTCTAGGCAGGTCATCTCCAAAGCAGAAGGGCTTCAATAGCAGTGGCTTTCCACCTTTCCCAGGACCAACAGCAGTGCATCTTTACGTGTGCTCACACAAAGCAGTCATCACAATCCTAAAAGTAGCTGCTGGAGCTGAGACCATGCTCCTGCACTTCTCAATTCACAGAATGGGAGAGAGGAGGTTATGGGTCAGCAAGTCTGATACAGGCAGCTGTCAGACTAACACAGCCCTGCTGCATGTTGGAAAGGGAAAGCATCTAGGTGGGAGTGCACAGGCAAATTAGGGGTCAAAGGGTTAAGAGAAGAGAGGCCATTATTCATCACTACCACTGTGTTCCAGGCATAAGAAACATTTGGAGCTAATTAGAGGGAGAGCAGAACAATGCACTAGAGAAAGCAACAATGCCCTGGTTCAACCCAGCAGATGAGCTCTGCGCTCAGAGCAAATTGGTCTAAAATGAGTATTGCTCCATCTCTAAACCAGGAAGGTGTGACCTACTTCTCTGACCCTGGCATCAGCTGGCAGGAAGAGAATTGACAGAATGATTCTTCATGCCTGTTGTGTTGAGATTGAGAATATTCCATTCCATTTCAGAAATAAAAGCCATCAGCTTTTCCAGCTGATTTGGGGTAACTAATAACATAGATCTAAATACATTAACTAAGCTGACTTATATTGCAAAGACCTCCAACAACCAGACAGACTTTAATCAGCCACATCATCATCTATGTGACATAGAAACCTTACTAATAGCCTTAATATTTTCAAATGTAAAGTACAGTCAACTTTTAAATCATTTCCTGGGCTTTTTGATGAGCCTTTTGCTCCTGAACAGTAACAACTGAAATTATGGCACCTGAATGCTATGCTGCATGCCAGATGCGGGAAGCACTTGGGGCCCTCTCAGACAAACACTCCCAGGGATTTGTAAATAATTAGCTGTAGTTCTGGAAGTTATTTTCCAAAGCCACTTAGAATTTGTGGTGTCAAATTAGTCTTGATTTTATTGTGAGTTGTTTGGGTGTCATCTTTTGGTGAAGCCGCTCTCAGACACTCATTCCGTTGATCATAGGATTCATGCTCTGAAGAAGAAATGATTACTTCAAGTTTTGATGTCTGGAAAAGAAGGGAAAATGCTGTGGGCTGCAAGCAGGTATTTTTTGGTAGCCTGATTCACAAGTATTTGTCGTCATAGAAATCTTGAATGCTATCGTGTCCCAATGAAGGCTGCATAAGCACTCTTTCTGTTTGGTTGCCACTAAGTAAGCAGCTTAAAAATCTTCCATCTACAGGCAAAAATTAAAGCAATGACATGACAAACACCAGCTACTCTTTATAATGAATACCCACTAAATGTTCTCAGACCTTACATAAATTCCTGCTGTAGCTGAACTAGCTTGAAAGCCACTTGACACACCTTCACCACGCACAACAAAGCACAGGACTTGGAGGACAGGCTGTCCAAAGGATGTGAAAATTGTCACATCAGCCAGCCTGACATCCTCAGCAGCTCAGCTACCCCTCGCAAAAAGAAGAGCAGGTCACATTGCATTTGTCCTTCTTTGCTAGATGGGCTATTTAAAAAAATAAATACGCATGATAGCCAAGACAGACAAGTGCTATCTCAAATACTGTCACTAAAAGGAGGTGTTACCTCCAGTGGTCCAGAAGATGATGTAGATGTGCCTGACAGCATCAGAGGATCACAGCACCATCCCCAACTATAAGGGAACTGCACTTACTGTCACTTCCAGTTGGCACTTAGCCAGTCATTAGGCAAAACAGCCCGCAGTATTTGCTGTGTAATTACACTGCCATGGCAGTATGCACCCAGCCATTACAAGGTAATTTCACTGTAGTTACCATTATGCTGCAGGCTTCAGTGTATGGATCATAGCCCCAGGGATGCCACTTGCCAGACCAAGCACCACTGTGATATTGCGGAGTTGGCTGCCCAATTAACTCCATCCCTAAGAAAATTAACATACACACACAAAGGAGAAGAAAAAGCAGGAAGCAAAATATCAATAGTGGGGATGAAATTACAAGCAAGAAAACAGCAGTCTGGTCTTCGTGTTCAGGGAATTCTGCATACGTGGATTCCCTTTTCTGTTAGAAAATCCCCACATCACAGAGCCTATCCAGTACAATGGTACTGATCCTCGGCAGCTGCCTCAGAGTGGACATTTGATGGGATGTCTGTGTTGAGGAAACTGTATTCTCAAAGAAAGTGCAAGAAGCCCATTGATAGAGCATCGAGTGATCCAAACAGTTGTTGCTGACTCCAGGTATATTTCCTATGCCGTCCACAACTGGACAATAGCAATGTTTCTGAGTGCAGATACCTACGTGTGCCAACACCAGCCTAAAAATGGTTTAAGAAAAAAGCTTCATCTCCTCTTTGTTTGGTCTGTTCCAAATGTAAGCTTTTTGAAGAAGGAACTGACTGAGGCTTGGAGTGCATTTGAACAGCATCCAGCATTAGCTTTGGCCTACTGTGGCAAAAAAATGCAAAAAAGAATCTTGGCACTTTCAATTTGAGATTTAGCACCAAGAAAGCTTTTCCGTGACACCGGGGATGAAAGCTTTCTGACCACATAGTACTGGCTGTCTGCTGGGTTGGGAGATTTTTATACTGTTTCTAGCAAGACTGGTCTTCACGAGTGAGAAAGTCATTTACTCAGTCTTTACTCTGCTATCATCCACACCATGAAGATCAACTGATGCTTCTCTTACAATGTATCACTTCCTATAAAAGCAGAAAGTGATTTGGTTATGGACTTCGCCTGAACTGCAACAAGGTGCAAAACAACTTCTTTCTGAGTTCAAATCCAACTTTAGTGATAAGTGAGAGGCATTCACTGCCACAACACTGCCATGGAAACTGATGCTTTGCAGTGTGATTCTAACCTAAGCTTTCTTCTCCTTTCAAAAGCTTTTTCACACATGTTGAATAGCAATAGCATGAGAGTGAGAACATATGAATGCCAGCTCTTTATCATCTGTGCTGGCTCCTCCAGCAGTTATCCATTCTCTTTCTGGTATGAATGGTCACCTGCCTACATCAACCTTCACTAACCCAACATCAGGCAGTAACTTCTTTTCTGCTTCTCTTTAGGATGACAACTAGAAATATGCCAAACTTTTCAAGGGGAGCAGTACTTAAGACTTGGAAAGAGGGCCTTCTCTCAATACATGACATTTTGTGAATGATGTCTCATGCTGATATACAACTGTTTAGCACAAAATGGCTTTCAAAAGCATCTAAACATGATCCTGCCACTGTCTACTTCTGCACTTTCCAAATGGCTTTGGGAGACCTCAGAAGTGTCAGGAACAGCAAGAGATGTTATTCTTGTCTCTGCTAAATCCAGGGTGCCACCTGCAATGATCTTTAAGTAGAGAACATTTACAATCCCAGACATGAGTGATGTGGCACCTATTAGACAGAAGAGTTGTCATTTGCCAACTGCTAGGGTTTTCTTAACTAGAAATAGATACTGCAGAGAAGAACACAGTTCCAGCAAAAAGAAGAGTTCTGGCATCAACCTTTATTGTTTCCTTTAAATAAATTGCTAGCAGAGACCTTTAAAGTGAAAATCAATAACGATTCAAGTTCCCATCTCTTCTTGCCAGCTCAAAGCAAGTCGCACATCCACTGACGCTGACGTGTCTGTTATTATTAACTTATCTAAACAAAGCAAATAGTAATAGCTTCAAAAATGCATCCAGAACTTGTAATCAGTTGGTCTCTATACCCTTTTCAAACAGGACAGTATAATTATTTCCATTTTATGGGCAATTATCTGCCTTTTAATGGTGGAACAACTGAGGCACAGAAAAAGGAATTAACTTGCTCAGATGGCCAATGAAATACCAAGAAACAGAGCCAGATTTCCTGAATCTGCATCAAATGCCCTCCAGATAACACCCTTGCTAATATAATCAATTAGAAACATTACGTATCACCCATCTTCAAAGGCATTCGCAGTGAACAGGCATCATGAGCATTAAACCACACTGTGTATTCTTGGTATCCCATATCACCACCTGCTTTGATCATTTTTGCTCTGTCTCTCTAATTCATGTAATTAATAGTTCCCATTCTAAGAGGAGTGACATGATTGACTTACCTAGCAATCACTTCAGAAAGAATATCATTGGCAGTAGGTCTGCAGTCTAAGCATATGCTTGCCTCCAGTTGAGCCAGACCAAACACCAGTGCCTTGTGAAGCAATGCTAGCACAAAGACCAACATAAGATAGCTGCCTGGATGCTTGTTTTATGTTCGCATACCTCAAATGCATCACCACGTTGCATCTCTCACAGGCTTGTCTTCTTTCCACCAACCCATCGTACATATCTGCACCACGGCCAGACTCCAAACTCCTCATGACCTCCCACTCAACAGCAAAGAGCTCTGTGATGTTTCCTCTGAACTCCTCATGACACAGACCTACTATGGTTTGGTCGAACGCTCCTGGCCAAATGAGGGAACGCTGCAAAAGAACAGTAAAATAAGTCTGATAATAAAAGATCACAGCTAAAATATAACCAGTCCTGCTTCAATTCCAGATCATCAAATGTGCAGATGGTGCCCTCATAGAGACCCATTAACATTGGTTTGCTTCACATCCTGCAGTTTGTAGTATCCAAGTCAAAATGATTCAGATAACTCATCTCCTACCCTCTATTTGGCTAAAAACATCTGTGTTCCAATGTATCTTGTGCAGATGGTGAAAAGACAGCCATGGCATCCTCACTTAAAGTTCATCATAGGGTTCATCACAAGGCGAGACACCAGCTCTGAACAAGCAGCATCTTGGTCACTCAAAACAAAATATCTGCAGCCATCAAAGCGGTCTCAAGGATCTTGGCTGTTTCAACAGACCCCAAAGTAGAAGCACAGGGAGCTTGATGAGTTATTACAATCATCTCCCTTTTGTTTACAGAACATTATAACACATTTAATTGGGTTCCTTGTAGCACACGTTCCTTAACAGCTTTTCTAAAACTACCAGAAAGGGAATCAGCCTGATTCTGTAAGGAGAATTAGCATCCAGAGATGGAGCAAAAGACAGAGCTGGAGGGGGAATTTGGAGCAACTGGTGGAGTCACATCAGTTATGGGACAGTGTGAGAGCTGTGTGAAGGCTCCAGACCTCACATAATGCTCTTCAAGAAGCTTCAGAAGCTTTCGTACACATTCATTTTAAGACAAAGACCAGCTGTAGTTGGCCTGAAAAGCCCACAAAGCTTCAATGTGAGTGTTTTTTCGTGTCAGTGTAAAATGCAGAACAAGGAACATTTTCAACTGTTTCAGCCTCCCTAACACTCCTCCTGAACAGCTCTGATTTGATTGTATTGATCGTCTTTGCTCAGCAGAGATAAAGCTGCTTTCCACAGAGAAAGGTAGAGCGAAAGGATTTGAAAGAAAAGGCTGCAATTAATAAAGCCAGATATTTTTTCCACTAGAAAAAAACATTCAGTTTTGGAAGGTATTGTCAATACCTGTAGCCCCCAAAAGTACCTCTCTGATCCACTTTGCAAGATTTGATTCAAAGCCAGTAAATAATGACTTTCTCACATAATCATAATACTTGGGTTTACATTCATGTTATTTGACTCACACAGGCAGTGTGTTATCTGGCTGAGATCTCCAGACATGTTTTGGGGGGCACGCAGCAAACCTGAAGTGGTAAGATCCAAACCTCGGCACTGGGAACCTGCCTATTGGAATGCTGCTGCTTCCAGCACAGCGCAGGCTATGTCAAGGCAACAGAGAGCCATTAATTGCATAGTAGCAATCCCAAGGGTTTAGCTTCATTCCTCTATACATTACATGTTCATAACTGTTAAATTCAGGGATAATTACTGCCCCTCTCCCTTTGTCCTTTGGGTGCAATAGCTCATGGACAGCCATTGATGACTGCTTACAAACATCTCTGCTGAGAAATATGGCTCTCCTGAGGTGCTGTTTCGGAACAACAGTCCTGAAGACAGAACGGAAGCCCACGTTCACGACATGCCAGAGATTAGTGGCGTTTAATGCTATTTTTTTCCCCCCCAAAAGCATCTCCCTGCCTATCCTTCAGATCAGTATAGAAAGTAAGTACATGGCCTTGCAAGGTGCCAAGCTACTTCTGTCTCAGTGAAAGCAGCAGGAGTTTAAAGGGCTCTGAAGTGAGCCCTTGCAGTACACATCTGACACAATAAATGGCAGTGATCAGCCAAGCACCCCCCTAACAACACCCTTACATTTCCCTGCATCAAAGAACAGGTCACCAAGCACCACAGCTTGTCACCGCAAGCTAATTTCAGTTCCCTTTGAGCACTAGGGAATAAACCACCCCCAGTATAACAAATTATACAGCAACATACGATAGGAATTTGCTGCAGCTTCAGCCCTCAGTGCCTAGAACGGCTTCAAGTGTAAACAAACAAGAACTGTAATTTGCACCAACTGTTTACTCTGATTTTAAGTCAGGGTTAGCTTTGCCAGCACAAATGATGCCTCCTCCCTTTGTCTTCAGAAAAGCGAGCGGTAGACTAGAGGAATTAAGACTGACTTTTGTTTGGTTGGTTTTTACATTTTTTTTGTTGATTTTTTTCTTTTTTTTCTTTTTTTTTTTTTTTTTTTTTTTTTTTTTTAGTATTAAATGAGCCATCTCTTTGCATGAGTTTTTACTTCTCCATAAGGGACCAGGGATTTCACAGCATTAATTACATTGCTAGTCTTCTACCATTACCATTATATAGATTTAGCCCATATCCTCACCAGAAGTTAGGGGGACAATGAGATTCACACGCTGGTTCACAGTACAAATACCAGTGAGTGAGGTCAAGCTCATGGTGCTTCTTCTTGCTGTTATACTGAGTCATGAAGCTCTTGATGAGATTTGGGGTCATTAAAGCAGAGAGCTTATGATTTTCTCAGCCATATAAAAGCTCAGTATTCCAAATGAGATTCCAACTCCCAAACAATTCCGAGCATACATGGACTCGTGAATAGGGAAAACAAACTGTTACAGGCTTTGCTTACCCTGATAATGAAGAACTTCCTCACGGCGTGCTGCTTTGCACAAGACTTGAATAGTGACTGCATTTGGAAGTCACAGGTGAGGACATGGGATTCCCAATTGAGAGAATCCAGAACTTTCTTATTATCATCTTCAGCATGTTTCTCTTCCAATTGCCCCATCTGGAACTCTTGGTTGTTTTTACCATCTGACATTTTAACAGCCTAAAAACAAGCAAAACAACCCTTTTAAACAACCAAAATGTTTGATCAGATCTTTTATATAAATGAAATGCTAGTGTATGCCAGGCATCTGAACTTGGTAAAAAATAAATGAGTACTTCAAACCCACTATTGTTCTCAAGGTCTCTGACCTTCAAAACACCATTCTATTCTATTTGTAAACAACTCTGACATGATAGAACATGTGAATACCACTTCACCCTTTGGTAGCAGCATCTATTCCAAGACCTCAAAGTATTCTGTAAATATTAGCTAAGACTCATATGCCTCTAAAGAATTACTCTTCTACAAATATTAGCTAAATCTCACGCCACACTACTCAGTCCATAGGAGGTTAACGCTATTCTCCAAGTTCAGAAATATCCAATGTTCTGGTTAATGTTACTCAAGAGTTTTGTAAAAGACTTCAGCAATGGAAATATGAGCTTCTAAGACTTACATATGTCTGTGCCTCCAGAAGCTAGTCCAGAGTATTAAGCAAGTCTGCATTTCTCTTTTGGCCACTCTAATATCAACAGACCCAAGTCCAAAACAACCCAGATCAAACTCATACAAGAGAAAACAACCAGGGACACTAAAACAAAAAAGTAGTTCTGATTACTCACCTTCAAGTCTGATAGACATTTGTGCAAATCAAAGGGAACCAACAAAAACGAGGCCTCAACTTGCATTTAGCAATGAACATAAAGTGGCACAGGGGTCACTGTGTGAAACACACCATTACAGCGAACAGTGATCAACGTTGAGATGAACTCACCCAGACTTCAGGCAAAGAACAGTTTAATGCAGCCACACCAGTTGCTAGCCAGTGAAGGACAAACTTTAAGGTAAGGCCATAACAACACTTACAGAGTAAACAGCCTAAACTTCCTGGGATGACTCTGGAAGCAATTTATTTCCAGGGCACTGAAAAAGTGCTTGGCTTCCAGTCCTGTCTCTCTTTTCTATCTTTTGTAAACAGCCATTTATTTAATGAAACTTTTCAACACCTCTTGCCAAAGGACATCACTTCAAGCTCTGTCCAGAACAACATTTTATGTTTACTTTCATTCCCTTTGTGCTGTGTTTCTAACAGAGCGTAGGTACACCTTCACTACACCTTGCTCTAGGTAACCCAGACTTCTCACCTTTCTACTTCTGGGTTACCACAAGAAATTCTTAATCATTACAAAGCTGAAAGCTCAAAGCCTGAACACTACAGAATGGAAATACAAAATAAATTATCCAAATATGCTTTACTTGCCAGCAAACAGCAGCTTACTTCCATGAAAAAAAACTAGTTAAAAAAAGTATCTACCTTAAGGAGTGATACTACTCTATATTAGCATAAAATTGCACCCAATTTAAGATAATATATGTGATGTCCAGTTTATCATTATAGATAAGGTGTCAGTTGTTCTGGGTTTGTTTTATCCAGAATTTTCTCTTGTATTTTATGCAACCTGCATTTAAGCAACGACAGCATATAGCGTGAGATTAAAGTTCTTCAGGTGCTTATTGTTGGATAGAAGAGGCTGGTCCAATATGGGTGGCTCTTGGCCTTTCCACAACATACTGTTGACTCCAGGAGTGCACTGTGACAATTACACAACACTGATAATGAGCATTCCAAGAGCCTTACGACTGCAAGAGCAAGAATAAAAGGTTGATGGACAACTTTGTGACAGCATACAGGTAGTGTCTGGTTCTTCCAGGAGGGAAAACTAATCTTTACTAATGTACATTTGAAGTTGCAGGTAAAACGGAGAACAATAAGCAAGGGCTGAGAACCTGAGGCAGCCAGCCAAATTCAGAAGGAAAACAAAACCTGCATCATGAACTTGAGGTGGAGGGGCTGGTTCAAAACAAGCAAAATGATGGACTGTTTCTCCCAGTGCCTGCACCTCAAGACCAGGTGTCTTCCTGAATGTAAAGCAGAACCCACAGCTTTTGGTGCAAGGGTCACTTCCTGCTTTGGTGATCCAACTTACAAAGTTCATCAACGTAGAACAGTCAGTCCTAGCCTTTGATACTGTGGTTCAAAGTGAGCAAAAAACCAAACCAAAACAAAACCAAACCTCTCAGAATAGAAGAGACCCGAAACTAATTTTCCTTACTCTGTGACTCAAATCACTAGCAGGAAAAGAGTTCTTCAATCAATAGAAGTGATTTTTCAATCAGCAGAATGGACACACAAGGCCAAAAGGGTTGAGAAACCCTTCTGTTCTTAACAAGAAGCCTGCAGGACTCTGCTCTGAAAGGCAGCCAGACTCCCCCTTCTCAGAGGTCTGCTGGAGATGATGCTCTCAGATTGTTCCTCTGCTTACTTCCCAGGTACTTCAGCCTTGTCTCTTGGTTATTATGCGCCCTTGCTCCCATCCCTTCTCCACCTTTCTTTAACCCAGGTATGCACTTAAACATACCTGCAACTCTCAACACGATTACCAACTTCTACGCTTTTCAATGGCTTGAAATGCTCCTGAAGCAATACACTGGGTCTCAGAGTCCTGGAGTTTTCTTTTCCCCAGAAATAGGTTGGGCTCTCTCCAATAGGCTCCTCCAGCTCATAGTTCCCTGCTGAGAAACTGCTCTCAAAACCTCTCCTAGTGAGTGTGATGAAAAGTCTCTATCTCCTCACGCTGTCCTATTGTAGATGGTGCAGAGATGTGCTCAGCTGAAATTACCCTCACATAGGGCAAACAGAGGACAGAACCCAGCTGCTGTATCACTTCTCACAGCCCCAGGGACTCCCTTTGTGACTCCAAGAGAAGAACGGGCTCTGCAGGCTCCAGCCTCCCACACACACAGCTTACAGCCCCAGGACCACAGGCAGGTTAACATTCTGTAGGATAACTACATGAATGTAAGCTAAGACACTCCTTGCCCCAAAACACCTTATGTTAACAAGAAAAACAAAAGATAAAGGGCTGGCCTTAACAAGTGCACACAGTTAATCCGAGAACCTGGGGCTTTTGTTGCAGAGCTGTTCCAAGCTTCCCAGCTGATGCTGATTTTCTAATAGACCAGCAGGGTCAGAGCACACCTGGATGTCTCGTACTTCCCATAGGCTGTGAGCACAGCCAGGGAGCACTTGAAGCTAGGCAACCTTGTCTTGGGATTGGGATGAACAGAGAATGAATTTGTCATCAGAGCCTTCATACCTATCAATTTATGCCACACCACAGACCTCTTTTGAAGCAAGAGCAGTTGCACAGCTTTCTCATCTTCACTTTCCTGCTGCCCCATCCAGCTGTCCACCAGGAGGTCATATCCTCTCTCAATTCTTTGCTTTGCAGCTTACTCCTGCTCATTTCAAAGGAGCTGCCAGTGTTACATTCTTTTCAGAGAACCCCAGGGAACTTCTAACCTCAAAATTAAGCAAAACAAAGCCTTTTGAATATTTTCCAATTAACCTGAGATTGACACTAACGTTTTTCTTTCAGTGCTCCCACTATTTGAACAATTGGATTTCTTCTAAATGCCCCAGCTGCCTGGCCTTTGGCAGCATCAAACATTTAAGTAATTCTTTTCCCAGAGATCACTCTGGTTTTGAAACAGTGAGATCCTTTTCTGCAGAGTTCACTTATAACATTGCTCTTCTAGGTTGTGTCATTTAGCGGCAAAGATCAGAGAAGCCTTGCAGCAGCACAAATCCAAAGAAGATATCAAAGAAGAGCCAGAACAGCACGTTTCTCATATACTAGCAATGAGGGCAAGCTAACATTGCTGAAAGCCTTTAGGGTTGCAGTTTGCTCTCAGTCTCACAGGATAAATATCCAGAGAGAAGTCATGCTATCATGACAGAGGGCTAGTTCTGAATCTTCAGAGCACAGGGAGTACAACTGCAATGCCATAAAAAATACAAACACTTGCAATACATGCAAGAGACTAGAGGTACAAGACACAATCCCAGTCTGGTGCTTGCAGAAGCATGCCAGCCTCCAAGAGCCTGCAGGCATCAAGGCCTGCTAACCAAACTTCATTTGAGCTGATGGCAGTGGTGGAACATGTGATCCAGCAACGCACACACAAACTCTCACTCTGCTGGAAGTGTATTTCTGCCAGCAAAGTCGCAGCTGGATCCTGCGCAACCCTAAACAAAGGGAGAAGTCTCCCAGCATGTAGTAAAATAGCAGCACTCTTGCAGATACAGTGCCTAGAAAACAGCCATCACATTAGTATTGCCCACTTAGGTAAGGTATTGTTTAGGTAAGGCCCATCTAAAAGTTCCTGCACAGAATGCTAATGTGTCTCAACTGTGAAGCAGAGAATTTGAATGTCTTCTATCCATAAGCCTGCAAACATCCCCCCTCTGAAGGCAAAATTGTCACCCACACTTTACAGATACTAAACCAAGTACAAAAGCCAAGCATACCAGTTCACTGTTCCTTCTTTCTAAACCACAAACAATAACCTTTCACACCAGCTACTGGAGCCAGAAGTCTCTGCTGGAAAAAAGAAGCTGACCCTTGCATAGAAGCAAGTAGCCACAAGGTAGCCTGAAGCCCATGCAATGCCTTCTGTGGCTTTACCCTGAGGTCTTTTCCTCCTGCACACTTCTTGGGTCCCTGCTTGCACTCAAGAAAACATGCTGTGCTCTGTATACTCAAGGAGTTCACCTTCAATAAATAACCCAAGGGAAGGGAGCTAGTGCTGGCACAGTTGCATGGGTTTCTGCAGGGAGAGTTTGCAGCAATGTCAAACTCACCTTTGCTGGTGGCTGCTGCCACTTGCTGGGAAGGAATCCAGCCCTCAAAGGGGAACACTTAGGAATATCAAGAGCCAAGAGCAATTTCACCCCCATTAACTAGCATCAAATATAAAGGACATGTTCCAGAGCATAGCAAGCGGTCATTACCTCCTTGAAAGGCCATTAAGAAAGATCTGGGTTTCAGGGCCCTTCAATGATAAAATAGAAACAGATGGAGTGATTTTATTTTTCCAGAATGATTGCAGGATACAACCAGCAGCACCAGCAGCACTCAGATTTCAGCCTGGAAGAG